CATTCCCCCCCCCCCCCCCGGGGCCACAGGGCGAATTTCACGAGGACGGGAATTCCTCACGAATCACGGAAAACGACCATTTTTAACACATCGAGTCACCGAGTGCTTCATGTCCGATCGTGCCCTATCAGGTTTTCCATTTTTCTCCATCGTCGTCCTCCCTTACTCGAAAGACCTAAAGCCTTTGGCTGAACGTAGAGCAAGGGCTGATAAAGAATTATTCTGATGGCGACATTCCCTTCCAAGGACTCAAAGGTCCACTCGGGACTCGAGATCTTTCATGGTATTTTCCTTCGGGCAAGTAAAATAAGGGAGGATTTGATCGATCAACCGTCCTTCCTGAATACACTCCATGTAAATTGCAACCTTTTAGAACGTACAATAATAGCGACTCTTTTGCCAGCTGGCAGAGAATTCTTAAAGAGTCCAGTCGTCTAAGATATAAATCCAGACGGTCCCTATTCGCGTACCGGCCCGTTCACTGGATCGTATAAAGCGGAAAGCTCTATGAGCTCGAGCATGCAACCAGAGAAATACAGCCCTGAATAGTATTCATGCTGCACGTTGCTGGATACTCAGAGTAGTGAGCAATACTGAGCAGTAGCGAGCACTAGCGAACGATAGAACGCTGCTGAAACCGTCAGGCCTCGACCGCAAATGAGAATAGTGGAGCGAACGCTACTGGCTCCACGCTTCCCTGGTGACCGATGAGGCCAATTCTGTCAACCGCTCTGACTTTATTCTGAAACTGTTGCTTTAACTTTTCTATTAATTGAAACAGAGAAACTCGGAGCTCGAGCGAGCATCGAACACCAAGTCACCCTCGAACTAGCATGGACTCTAATGTCAATTAAGTTAAAACATTTCCAACTGCGGACTCGCATTACGGTTCGCATAATATCAAGCGGGCGACCGTCTTGCGGACGAAGACGAATGCTGAAGATATAAAATGAGTATCCTGAGAACCGCACATCTAGTGGGTCTGATGGGATCCTTGGGAAATGGGAAGCCACACAACTCCTGACCTCTTCTTCCCCTGTACACGCTCTCTGTTTGTAATGGAAGTATGATTGTCGTTATCATCAATTCGAATCCCACAGAAGAACTGATTGAAATCAAGACGTACGCTATTTAAAAAGTAACTCTGACATAAGGATCGTTGACACTGGACGAATTAGGTAGCTTGTGCGCATAAAGAAACGACAGACTTTACATAGCACTTTTATATTACTACGCTTACTCCAAATAGTAAGCGATCAAAAGTAGGCACAGTTTACTTACTTCTTCACTTCTTCATTTCTATCTTTATTTTTTTCTTCTCGTTTCGCTTTTTTCCCTCTCACTTTTCATTGTATTTGTCTTACTTTTCCTATTTCCTTTGTCGGGTCGAGCATATTAATTCGAGTAGTCATATAAGGGTAGTCACCCTGTTAGTGCAGCTAGACTTAAGACCATGGTGTCGGGGGTTGCCCTTCCGCCTCATCCGCTGAGCTTGCTCAGTGTTTGGTGGCCCAAGTTGTGGCCGCAACAGGACCTTATGGGTCTCCCGCGGGGGCCTTGAGCCCCCTTAGGGTATCTACGGCCATGGTCTTTCGTATAGTGAATCTAGCCAGGTGTCTAGCTCTCGCGTATTTAGTATCATTTGTTCGCTTTGCTAAAAACGCTCCAACATGTCGTTGACCCTTGGGCACTTGTGTGGGTAGAGACGATCCTATTTGTCCGTGGGGAGGTCGGAGGGGTAGTCCGTTGACTTTGGGTAAAGTCCTATTTGTGCTTGTGCTTGGGGGTCACTTCACTTGGGGTAGGTGCGGGTGCTATTGGGCACCCGCTAGTATAAAGTCACCCTCTGTCGGAGACATTTTGCGCGTGGATCGATGGCTAACGGGGCCCGCCGCCGGCGGCGGGCGTGGTTCCTTACGTCTAACCCACTGGGCTTTTGCCCGTGGGAAGGGACGGAGGTTGTAGCGTTAAATATCGTCCTTCGGGATGTCCCGGCGTGCCCGCAAGGGTATCGCTGGGTGCTACGCCCGCGGTCTTTCGTTGCGGTGAATCTTGACTAGGGGTAGACCTTTCGCGTTTAACTTGTCCCTTTTGCGTTTAACTCATCTTAGCTTCTTCGCGTTTAACTTCACCTTACCCCCTTGTGCGTTTTTCTTGCCCCTCGACCCGACTTCCTTCCCTTCCTGAGGTTTTTCCCCCCTAGTCCTGTGCGCGAAAGCCGCAGAACTCGGGGGTTTTCCTCAAAAAAAACAACAAAAAAACACGGTCCCCTATGGGGCCTCGGAGGGGTCGTAGCTCCCTTCAGGAGAGGCAGGACCTCACGGAAATGGGCGGGGTGGGGCCCATTTCTCTTCCTTATACTTCCTACCTTTCCTACTTTTGCACTGTTCTTTTATCTCGCTCCTCCAGAATAATCTGGTCTTCGTGCTGTAATGAGCCAAATGTTAATAGTAGTGACATCCATAGGATAATAGCGAAAGATAGTCCTGCTAGAGTTTATATTTCTTAAAATTTGTCCTGTTGCTGCCTGGTGTCGTCCCATTCTCTCAAGGACTTCAAATACGAGCGGACGTCACCAAGCAGCACAGCAAGTCATACCTAAGGTAACAGGCAAAATTCTTAAAAATTCTTAAAAATCTAATTGATTTTCATGTATATTTTTCTTCATCACTAAATGCAGGGTGTCATACAAAGATAGAAAGGGTTTTTATTTTAACCACTATATGGAATTATTGACGGGACTGCTACATAGAAGTAAAAGGA